AGCTCTCTATCTCTCTCCCTTCCTCTCTGTAAAAAATCAATAAAATATATTTTTAAAAAATCCATTAGGATGTTTTGGTATTATTCTTTGAATATTTCATTTATTGAATATGTTAAACTTATAATATCATTTAAAAATTAATACCCCTTTCCCTAATTTTCAAATAAAATATATAAATTTCTATGTCTCTTAAAAAAAAAAAGAAAACATTTTTCAAATGAATGGGGGCTGGAAAATGAGAAAAAATTAGAAAAGAAAGTCTTGTTCTTCTTACCGGAGCTTCTGACATGAGGACAGGATGCAGGCTGGGTTCTGATTTGACATGCATTTTGTAGGTATGATCCAAAATAGCTTGGAAGCTCTCCCAGTCTTCAACTAGAATATAAAAATACCTTCAAAACAATGCTTTATTGGAGATATACACAGCATCATTTTTTGAGATTGTTTTTTCTTATCTTGTCCTTCTCCTGAATTTTCTTCTACATCCCTACATGTTCCTTCACATTCACCTTCATGGTCACCTCTTCTCTATCAGTTAAATACAGAACAAGCTTTCACAAGGAACCCCATCTTCAACACTTAACTTACACTTCTAATTCTTTCTGGGTAATGTAATACAGCTCCATGTCTTAAAATCTTTCTCACCTGCTTACAACATCAGCGCCTATGTGCAAACACTTTGACTCAGTAACAAACTCATTTCCTTGCTGTGCAGAAAAGTTAACATAGCAGGCCTGAGAAAGGCCTGGCTGCAAGGCTGAACCTTGGCTAGTATTTGGGAACTTAACTGGTAAACAAAACAGTTCCCTACACGGACATAAAGCACAGCCTAAGTGAAGACATAGCTCACTGTGCCTCAACTGTTTGCGCCAAGAACGAGGAACACCTTCTTTCCTTCTGGGCGTCTGGGATCTTGGTACCTGCTGGGCACGGGTACCGACATCACCAGCCCCCAGTAAGAACCCTGGGTACTGAATCTCTAGTGAGCTCTCCTAGTTGTTACAACTTGATGCTGGGGGAATTAAGCACATCCTCTTGTATAACTGTACTGTGAGAAGGCTCTTGTAAGTTTGTATTGGTTTCCTCTGGACTTCACACCCCCTTTTTTCCCTTTGCTGATTTTGTTTGTATCATTTTAGTGTAATAATCTTAGCCATGAGTACAACTATATGCTGAGTCCTATCAGTCCTCCTAGGGAATAACTTGATTTTCAAAGTGATCTTGGGTATTAGCAATACACTTGCTTTTTAATTTAATTATATTATTTCTTAAAAAATATATTTTATTTATTTCAGAGAGGAAAGGGAGAGGGAGAGATGGAAACATCAATGATGAGAGGGAATCACTGATTGGCCGCCTCCTGCACACCCCCTACTCGGGATCGAGACCACAACCCTGGCATGTGCCCTTGACTGGAATCGAACCCGGGACCCTTCAGTCCGAAGGCTGACACTCTATCCACTGAGCCAAACCAGCTAGGGCTACACTTGCTTTTTAAGACCATAAAACTTATTTTTTGCCTTCTATTCCTACCTCAATGCATGGTACCCTCAATTCAGTCACCCCAATCAAAAATCTAAAAGACTTTCTTAACTCTTCTTTTTACCCCTCCAATCACTTAAGTACCATGTATCTCCTAGATGTCTCTGAAAGCCACCTCAGGATCCACTATCAGTGTTATAATTGAAATCCTCATTTCTCCATCTGACTCCCAGCCACTTAACTGAATCTCTTGTCTCTAGTATCTCTCCCTCCAATCTATATACTGCTGTCAGAGTAACATTCCCAGCTGGCAAATATGAACATTTCACATCTGTTTAAAATCCTTTGGGATTACCCTTACTGCCACCTTAATATACCCCTGGCATAGTTTATAAGCCCTTTTATGATTGCTTTGCCTACCTTCCCTGCAACTGGCCATAAGGTACCCAATGCTACAGCCATACATAATTGATGACATTTATAAACATGTAGGTTTCTTCCACAACTCCATCTCTTCACATATGCTGGGTGCTCTGCTTTACCTATTCTTGTCAGTCAGGCTAATTCTTTGTCGTTGATAAATATTCAGTACAAAAGTTACCTCCTTTGTGAAAACTATCACAGACCCCTAATGACAGAGTTAAATACCATTCCTCTCTAATCCCACAGATTATTAGACATAGCTATATTATAGCATTTATCTACACATTTGTATATATACATCTATTCTCCCTATCTATGAGTTCCTTCAGGAAAAGGAACGTGTTTTATGCATCTTTGTATTCTCAGTGCCTGGAACATCAGGTTGTGGAATAAAAAATAAATAAAAAACAGAAAAATTGTTGATTTTCAACTTAAAAGAAGCTGTTGCTTTATATCTAAAATGCACCCAGTATAGTCTATTTTATAATCAATTACATAGGAAAAACAACAACAACAACATCATACCCATCCCATTTTTCAGTGGAGAAATGGCCTCCATATTCTCCCTGGGAACACGCAGGGCATTAGTATCTATGTAATAAGTGGGACCGCCTTGTTTGCCTTTATCACCATCTATTTCCATCAGTGTGCTTCCATCATCTCTTTCTACCACCATGCCAATAGCTGTGGGAAAATCCACCTGTAAGAGTCCAAAATATGATACATTAGTTTTATCTGCTTTTATCAAGGAGTCATTCCCCCTCCCCCAACTAATGTATTTTATCATATGTGAATCAGAATTTCTGCATGAATTTAATTCTACATGAATGGCCCTTACATGTCCAATTAACTCTAACATCTTACCTTGGGACAGTCCTCACCAGCATAACCAGCTCTCACAGTATAGGATCCAATGTCAAAAACAAGGGCTCCAACTTCATCTGAAAGATAAGAAGATAATTAACATTAAAAACTTATAAGCATCTTATGAAAATTAAGCATATTTGCTTAAAATGAGAATGTATGTGAAAGCTCTATAAAAATTAAAACAGGCATTACATTCTTGAACCTAATTTTATTTTATTTTATAAATATATTTTATTGATTTTTTACAGAGAGGAAGGGAGAGGGATAGAGAGTTAGAAACATCGATGAGAGAGAAACATCGATCAGCTGCCTCCTGCACACTCCCTACTAGGTATGTGCCCGCAGCCAAGGTACATGCCCTTGACTGGATTCGAAACTGGGACCCTTGAGTCTGCAGGCCAACGCTCTATCCACTGAGCCAAACTGGTTAGGGCAAACCTAGCTTATTTTAAATACACCTTGCCCAGCTGGTGTGGCTCAGTGGTTGAGCATCAACCTATGAACATGAGGTCATGGTTTGATTCTCAGTCAGGGCACATACCCAGGTTGCAATCCCCAGTAGGGGATGTGCAGGAGGCAGCCAATCAATGATTCTCTCTCATCATTGATATTTCTCTCTCTTTCTCTCTCTCTCTCTCTCTCTCTCTCTCTCTCTCTCTCTCTCCCTTCCTCTCTGAAATCAATAAAAAATCTGTAATAAATAAATAAATACATCTTAAACTAAAGATTCATTTAATTAAATTATAATGTCATACATGATGTATCAGTAGATTTTGAATCAGGAGAGATGCTACACTAAAATTGGGTAATTTGAGGAGAGTATACTTATTAAAGGGGCTATTTACAAAGATATACTCATAATATTTAAAAAAAAAAAAAGCACTATACCCTACAACTTATAATAGCAGAGACAGGGGGCCACCCTTAGAATTGAAGTACTAGAGAAGAAACTTATTCCAGAGCCCAGAGAGTTGTGTTCTATAAGGGATGATAGGAGCTGTGACCTTGAGCTGAGGGATGGAGTCAGCCTTGGCTGACCCCTTGGGGAAGGAGCCAGGCTAATAAACATGCCAACCTCTCCAGTTCCCCTCCCCATGGGCTAAGGTGTTCTATAATTTCTCCTACAAACTGGGTTACTTCTGAATGTGAAAAGGGTCCCTATTAATAATTGCACCAGGACAAGAGGCACAAAACAGGAAGTATGGTTACTCTGCCATTGCTTAAACTAGATGTCAAGGGAGCCCACTGATGTAGGCTGCAATGGGTCAGTCTTCAAAGGCACAGGGAGGGTGAAAATGTGTGGGAGATGAATCTGAAGGAGTAAAGGGAAGATATCCAGTATATTTAGGTACCATGTTTCATATGTTAAGGGATATATTCCATACAATTAGGAAACAAACTTAGCAAAATCCCAAGTAGGTTCCCTGAAGACTAAGCGTTAAGGTATAGGTCAAGGAAAACCATTAAAATGAAGGTATCATCGAGGGAGAAACCAAGATGGCGGCATAGGTAAACACCTGAAATTGCTGCCTCGCACAACCACTTCAAAACTACAACTAAAAGACAAAACAGACATCATCCAGAACCACAGGAAGGCTGGCTGAGTGGAAAGTCTACAACTAGAAGGAAAGAGAAAAGCATACTGAGACTCAGAGGAGGTACGGAAGTAAAGTGCAGAGGTACGGAGGCTCACGTGGAAAGGGTTGGCAACGGTGTCTTTTTCAATCGGGAGGGAGACACAAGCTCCCGATGGCTCTGAACTCCAGTTCCAGGTGAGTCTCTGGGGACCCAGACTCATACGGGAGAAACTGGACTGTCTGGCATCGGTCAGAACTCGAGGGCGGCTTTCCCTCAGAGGTGCTTGCAGTGATTACCGCGGGACACTGAGACCCAGGGCCTCTTAGGGTAGGACTGAGGAGCAGCTATAGCTGCTTGCTCCACCCTGTTGATTCTCTGAGACCCCGCCCCACCCAAGCTGTGCACAGAGGCTTTTGTATATGAATGGGCTGGCCCTTTGAGACCTAAAATTGCCTAATAAACTGCAGCTGGATCAGAGAGACCCAGAACATCCAAAAGAAGGTTCAAAGCCCCACAGCAGCTTGCATTGCTTCACAGCTGGGCCTCATCTGGGCACCTCCAAACCCCAAACAAAGAGAGGAATCTGCAGATCTCTCCATAGCTCCTGCTGGATAGCCTCAGGCAGAGGCTAAATTAGCACCTCCTTAGAGATCCAAGTGCCAGTGTACCCAGTGGTCAGAGTGGGACCATCCAGATTACAACTCCGCAGATCCATAAGGGACACACTCAGGGGGCAGACTCAGTGAGCACCAAAGCCCCACTGAAGCAAGTCTTGCCCCATAAGGGTGTCTTCAGCACAGAAGTTCTCCTACCGTAGACACAGCTGATTCTCACAGCCAATTGGCCTGGAGGTCAATTCCTCCCAGTGATACCAACAACAATCAAGACTTAACTACAACAAGACTGTGCACACAGCCCACAAAGGGGTGCACCAAGAGTGTCCACCTCAGGTAACTGGGGAGGCTGAGCCACTGGACCCTATAGGACACCTAGCACAGAAAGCCACTCTATCAACACAGGTAAGCATAAAAAATGTGGAGACAAAGAAACCGGTCAAGGGCATGTACCTTGGTTGCGGGCACATCCCCATTAGGAGGTGTGCAGGAGGCAGCTGATGGATGTTTCTCTCTCATCGATGTTTCTAACTCTATCCCTCTCCCTTCCTCTCTGTAAAAAATCAACAAAAATATATTTAAAAAAAAATTAAAACCTCAGGAGTCTGGAGTTAAAAAACTAGGCAGCATTCTAATGGATAAAAATCCTCAAGGGTTTGATCCCTTTACTACTAAAAATGCTAGTTTTGACTTTTTGAGGATTTTGATATTTTTCCCGAGTAAATGGCTTCCAAGTTTTAAAATGATGTGATTTCTTTCTGCGAAAGCACAAAGCACTAGTGGCAATCTTCTAACCTGGTCTTAAAACATTCCAACAGGATACTGAATGCTAGGGACTTTGGGAGGAGGTGGGGAGATTGGCTCATTTTCTTGTGTGGACATTTTTATCATGCAAAGGAGTTTGAAGTAGAGGAGAACCATTAAAGATGATCACAAGAGCAATGAGAAGGATCAGAAACTTGTTACAAGGTACAGAAATCTGGATGAATTATGCATTATTCCTAAAGCTAAAGATCAGTGTCCAATCTGGTCAGAAGTTACCATTGGAATGAGACACCTGTAAATTAAAATTTTTTTACTACAAAGATCTTTTTAATAAGCACACAAGTTAACAATACAGTCTAGCCATGGCTAGTGTGGATCAGTTGGTTGGGCATCTTCTCCTGCACAGAAAGGTGTGCCAGGACCAGTCAGGGCACATGCCTGGGTTGCATGCTAGATCTCTGGTAGGGGGCGTGCAGGAGGCAGCTGATCAATGTTTCGCTCTCACATCAATGCTTCTTTCTCTCCCCCACTTCCTGTCTCTTTAAAGAACTGTAATTGGTAAATGTCCACAAAGTAATTAACCCTTCTCTATAAATTATTCTGGTCCAAATAATTTTGTCTGAAAGCAGAACATTGCATTTGTTCAATTTAAAAAAATACAATCTAGCCCTAGCCAGTTTGGCTCACTGGATAGAGCGTCGGGCTGGGGACTGAAGGGTTCCAGGTTCGATTCCAGTCAAGGGCATGTACCTTGGTTGCAGGTACATCCCCAGTAGGTGGTGTGCAGGAGGCAGCTGATCAATGCTTCTCTCTCATCGATGTTTCTCACTCTCTATCCCTCTCCCTTCCTGTCTGTAAAAAATCAATAAAATATATATTTAAAAAAATACAATCTACTGTTTATTACACAAAATTTAGTTGAGAAGTTTAGTTGCTTTTCACAGTAAACCTTTTAGAAAATGTGACCCACTATGTGTAAATACTGGCCATACAGTAACTCAAACAGAAAATCGTGCACTTAACTTTTGTGAATTTTAAATATTTTTTATGTGAAATAGGCTTTAAGACCTATTTACACAGCAAATAAGAAACAAGATGCTTATTCTGAATACCAATAACATGAATATGCTGTGGTTATACACTTGAAAAAGGATTTATGGAAATGCCTTTTCTTCATCCCAGAGAGTCTTGGTCCCCATTTATGAGGAAGTTAATTAACCTTGGGCTGGTTACTTAATCTTTTTTATGCCTCATTTTCTTATTCACTACGATGGGGATAGTAGTATCACCTCCTACAGTTGTGAAATAACTTAGTTGATGAAGATATTAAATGAAAAACCTCTGGAACAGTTTTTGGTATACAGTATACACTCAATAAACGTTAGCTGCTGGCATTATTGGGATCCATTTCTACCTTACCCATATGAAATTATTCCTGTTAAGGAAACACTCAGTGCACAGCCTCTTGGGACAGTGAACCTAACAGTCAAGACAGTCAGCAGCCTCCAGGAGGCAAAGGCACACAGCTCCAGTTTTTTCAGTCAGGACTGCATCTTCAGACGGGGAAGCGGTAAGTCATGAAGATCCACCTGGCTTCCTCCAGGGGAAAATGGGCAACGACGGATGCTCCCATTGGAGAAATCAAAACCAAGCACACAAATAGGGAACAAGGCAGCGAGGGTCAGCATAGCACCTCAAGGGAGACTCAAGCTGCTCCGGAAAAACTAAGACCTTAGAAAACTTTCTTTTTATCCCCCACCAATAAAATGCCCCCCTCGCCAGAAACAGCATCCTTACGAGACACAGTAACAGCAGCAACAGGTTGCTTCCGTCTCCTTGTTCTCCAACTCATCAGACAGAAACACAACAGTCGTACACACTTGTGCTTCTCTTACTAGAAGGTATCTTGCAAAAATGTTGGCCCTGATTCGGTAGACTCACTCTGGGGCGTGAGGGTCTGCATTAGGAAAAGCCTGCAGGTGAGGCTGAGGCCGATGCGCGCACCGCACTGTAAATGCAAGTGCAGCAGGATCTCCTTCAACCTTCGCCAGCACCCCACCGGCCGGCGGGGGAAGAACAAACTTTCCCCCGACCAGAAAGGTTCTGTGGGCTGGTCTAATAATCAAATAGACAGGACGCGGATTAGCAGGAGAAAATAACCAAATTTAATACATATGTATGGGAACCCCATAGAGGGTCTGAGACACCCCTCTCCCCTCCTCCCCATGCACAAGCGGTTCAGAGACAGAAAGGGGTACCGGGTAAATAAGTCCTTCTGAGCTAGAAATGAGGCGAGAAAACTCGGGGGCTTCAAAGGCTCATCGCAGGAGGACAGAAAGAGCAGATGTCTGGTAAATAAAAGCCTGCCGTGCCACACGCGTGGGCCAGAACGAGACCACCTACGGCCGATCGTCGCCTAGGATGGGCAGGGCCCCCACTCCAGCTCTTCTGGGCAGCGAGAGGGAGGAGGAGCGTCTCTTGGGCCTGAAGCTACAACTGGCATGATCGCTAATCACCCGCATGCAGCTGAGAACACCCGGGCTCTGAACCCCCAGAGGCGGGGAGCCCCCGAGCCGGGGAAAGTCAAGCCCCTGTCGACAGCCCCAGCACTACGGGAAGGGGGGAGGCTGGCATCACGGCCCGGGGTCCCGGAAACCCCCGGACTCCTGCCGCTGCACCGCCGTCTTCCCCAGCAAAAGCAGCCTGGAGTTTACAACCCGGGAGAGTCCACGGTCCGCACACAGGCAGGCGGGTGTTGCGGGGCGCTTGACGGGTTGTGCGGAGCGGCGCGGCCGGCCGAGCGCGGAGAGGAGGCAGGTCCTGCGCGCCGCTGCTCCCTCCCATCAGTCC